GGTCCTTGAGTCTTAATTGAGCTTAGACTTTCTTAGCTTCTAATAATCCCTTCAAGGTATTAACCAAAACCTTATGTTCTGGAAGATTTAAACCAAACTGCTCACACTGAGATCACTCACTGTTTAGCAGTCCTAGACTACCTCCTTTCTCCAGGAGCAACTGTTTTACATATCTAGCTTCAAACGGACTAATGTTAAAAAAAAAAACTGAAACCAAAACCTTTCTTCAAACTATGGTGTTTCCCATAAACCAAAGGAAAGCACTGTTCCTTATCCTTCTGCTTGAAACCGAATCCTTTACACTTTTACTTTGGGAGAGTTTTCAACCAACATGAAGATCGATTAGAGAGGATGGGAATGTTTCCTTTGGAGAGGAGAAGACTGAGGAGATTTGATGTTTTTAAAATCATTAGGTGGTGTGCTGTTTAAGGTAGATGGAAGTAAAATGTTCCCACTTGTAAAAGGATGGTGAATTGTGGGTACTTTTGGAAGGCTTTGCAAAAGAAGAAAATGTGAAGTGAAAAAACATTCACAGCAAGCAATTAGGAGATGTAGTGTACTGCCTGGAATTTTGGTGGAATCAGGGTCAATTGAGATATTCAGGGAGATATTGGTTAATAATTTAAGTAGAAACATTGTGCAAGGTTACAAGGAAAATCCATTAAGTCAAAATGCTCAGAGAACTGGCGCAGCCATGACAGGTCAAATGACCAACTACATCTATTGTTCTATGCAGTGGCCTAGCAAGCCATTCACATAAACTCAACATTGAGGTTATCCATCATCTTATCAAGGGCATTTGGGGGCAGGCAATAAATGTTGAATGGTGCCAGACACCAACATTCCGTGAATTATTAAAATCCGTTAGGGTGTGACAAGATGCTTAACACAAGGGTAATGCAAAAATATTTAATTTGGATCAACATCAGCAAATAGAGTACATGTTCATCGAAATAAATTTTAAGTGTCTGAAAGGATGAGAGAAAGGCAGACCTAGGCAGGTGAAGCTACAGCCACCAATGATAGAGTAATTAAAATAATCATAGAATCCCCACAGTGTGGGAACAGGCCATTTGGCCCAACAAGACCACACCGACTCTGTGAAGAGTATCATACCCAGACTCGCACCTCCATAGCCTATTCCTGTAACCATGCATTTCTCACGGCTAATCCATCTAACTTACACATACCTGGACACTATGGGCAATTTATTATGGCCAATCCACCTAGCCTGTACATCTTTGTCTGAGAGAGGAAACCGGAGCACCCAGCGGAAACCCACACAGACACAAGGAGAATGTGCGAACTCCATATAGACAGTCGTCTGAGGCTGGAATCGAATCCAGATCCCTGCCACTGTGAGGCAGCAGCGCTAATTACTGTGTCACCAGACTGAACTTCATCTACCATTACCTGACCATTCCATCAGCTTTTCTGCACTCTTTTGGAGTTCTACACTGTCCTCCTCTCAAAGAAAGACCAGAGGAGCACATATTCAAAGACTGTAGGACTGGAGAAGGTTACAAAGTTAGGAAAGGTGAAGCCATTGGGTGATTTTATAAGACCAGAATGAGAATTTTAAAACCGCTATCGTCAAAGGAACGAGTGTAGGTGAACATAGACAAGAGTGTGGGCCACATCAAATAAAGAAACGTTTCGTAGTAGGTGTCTTTAAGTTTACTTCTGTTAGCATCCTCTGATGTGAATTTTGCATAATCTTTGAAGTGGACTGTTGTTATTTCTCCTATCCATGCTTTCTGGATAACATTGGAGACCTTCACCTATCATTTTCCTGTAGATTAAGCAGGAGCCCAGTACATGCTGAGCAAGTTATGCATGTATTCCTTCAGATAGGAAACGTAGAGTTCCATAATATGTCTTAAATGTAGGTGAAGGTTGAAATTCAAATGGTAGGGATTCTGAGCTTAACAGCAGCATCTAGAACACTGAAACAAGAGACTATGAAGTGTTGTACATTGTTTATGCTGAATATTTGGTGAATATTAAAACTGTGTAGTCTAAGTGACGCACTCAGTGGTGATGATAGTCAAGTTGTGTATGAGATGCTTTCCATATTACAAACTAACAGTGTTGAATGTTGCCATTTGTCCAAGAGTCTGGTGAAAAGTTTATATTCCAGCTAGACGCCAATGCTGTCTGAAGTGGCAGCCTGTGGATCCAGTAACAATTAGCTCTGTTAGATGTACGGTTAGACTATTAAAAGTGCACAAAGAAATATCTCAATGCTATCACTGGCTAGTTTTATATTTTGATACCAAAAGGACCATGCCACTATTTACACCTGACATGAACCTCTTGGCCATTATTTAATTTCATCCTTTCACAATATCTGTATTTGCTTTATCCCTCATGTACTTGTACTTGTCTATCGTTTCCTAAAAGCACCCATTTTGTGTGCCTCAATTACTCCATGTGGCGTGAATTCTAGAGTTGAGGGTTGGGTGTTTTCCTCGTGAGGTTGGCACAGTATGAAGATAATGAGCAGAATTATACTTAATTGAAATATCAGGGATTGCTGCAGTCTTCCGTTGTTTTTGAGAAGATTCGTAGCTTGGGTTGTGGATGAGGTTGTAGACTTCACCAAGCTGGTGTGTTTGATTACAGATGCTTCATCACCCTGCTAGGTAACGTCGTCCGTTCCCCTCCGGTGAAGCATTGGTGTTCTGTCCTGCTCGTTATTTATATGCCTCTGTTTGCTGGGGTGGTTGACATCACTTCCAGTTCTGTTTTTCAGTGGTTTGTATATCGGATCCAGTTCAACGTGTTTGTTGATGGATTTCTGGTTGGAATGCCAGGCCTCCAGGAATGCCCTGGGATGTCTCTTTGGCTTGTGCTATTATGGATGTGTTGTCCCAGTCGAATTCATGTCCTTCTTTGTCTGTGTGTACTGAGACTAGTGAGAATTGGTCGTGTCTCTTGGTGGCTAATTGGTGTTCAAGTATCATTATTGTCAGTTTTCTTCTTGTTTGGCCTGTGTAATGTTTCTGTCAGTTCTTGCATGGTATTTTGTATATTTACGTTGGTTTTATTGGTTGTGGGTATGGGATCCTTTACATTCATCAGTAGCTGTCATAGGGTGATTGTTCATTTGTGGGCTACCATGATACCTAGGGGTCTGAGTAATCTTGTAGTCATCTCTGATATGTCTCTTTACGGTAGGGTGACTAGTGTGTCTGGCCATGTTGTGTCTTTCTGTGGTCTGTCACAGAGGTAACGGCGGATTGTGCTTTTTGGGTATACATTCCTTTTAAAAACTCCATATAAGTGCTTCTGTTCTGCTTTGTGCAGTTCTGGGTTACTGTAGTGTGTTGGGGTGGTTGCTGTACCACCTTCCATTGTGTATAATGAAGGCTGTACAAGACAGAACATCACTTCTGCTTCAGAATGATCTCTAAATCACTTAAGGAAAAACTCTAACTGTGCATATCCCAGCCTTTCAAAATTGTTGCATGTACATAATTACCTTTTCAATATTTTACCTACAGTTTATTTTTCTGCCTTCCTACAGAACAGATATCTTTGTGTTCCTTCTCAGCACCAGAGCTGGTGGCCTTGGCATCAATTTGACAGCTGCTGATACAGTAAGAGAGTAGATTATTTTTAGTCCTCTTTCCCTCATGTAAAATGTTGAATGTTAATGTGTGAGGATACAGTTTTAGACTGCCTGTAATGCACCTGATCTCAAAATGTTTACTGAACCTTTGAATATTTAATTCAGAGCTAGATAAATTCTTGCTAAGCAAGGGGCTGGAAGTTTCTCGTCTGTAGGCAGCAGTGTGGAGTAATCAGATTATCCTCAATCTTATTGAATGGCAGAGCAGGCTTGAAGGGGTCAATTGGCCGCCTCCTCCTCCTAATCCGTATGTTCATAACAATAATTGATACTATTTCCTCTTGAGTTCAGATACCTTGATGATTGTCCTCAAATTCCACACCACCTTTTACTTCAGTTCCCACCAATACAAACTGTATTCTGGATATACCACTAATGTTGAACAACTTGAAAACAGTTTGCTGAATACAAATGTACTCCTAAGTTAGTGCAAAATTAATGTTTTCATTCAGTGAGATTAGAGGGTGCTGGGGTTAGAAATAGACAGTGATCACATATGAATTTGTTTTGAGGTTTGGCTCAAGCATATTGTAGGACAACATAGAGGAAGTTTTACTGTGTACTTAACTCCATGCCGTCTCTGTCGTGGGACTGTTTGATGAGGACCATCCCAATTTAAGTACATCAGACACTGACCAACATGCCATCACACTATAGGGGAAATCACATGCTTCAACATTGTACTTGGGCATTCCTTAGTGTAGTCCTGGAGTAAGTTGTTACATAACCAAGGAATTAGGCTAACAATGTTGTAGCCAATTCATTGTGTTCCAGTGATAGCGTTCAGCTCCCTGGCAGGAGCACTGAGTTTTGAACACAAGGAGGATGACTGGTGGATATATTTTGTGAACTTTCTGCTGAAGATTGTGTTTGTTACAGGTTATATTTTATGATAATGACTGGAACCCAACTGTGGATCAGCAGGCAATGGATCGAGCTCATAGGCTGGGACAGACAAAGCAAGTAACTGTGTATCGACTCATCTGCAAGGGAACAATAGAGGAGCGAATCCTGCAGCGTGCCAAAGAGAAGAGTGAGGTACACACACTTGGTATCCATTTCAAGTTTTGTGCTGGCAAAACCCTGTAGAAAGGCACATAAAGCAGAGAGACCTTTAAAGGCGCATTCTCAATGTGTAGTTGCACTGAACATCATGTGATTTTCTGGTACAAATGACTATAGGTGAGGATGACTGGAATTGGTAAACAATATTTCATACTGTAGAATTGCTGATTTTAGCCCTGCAGATTGGGATGAGCACTAAGCAGAGACCTTAGACATTCTACAACCAGGTTCCAGGACAGAGTTTGAGGGTGCTCAGACCCTAAGGAATTCTGGCCCCCTTTAAATTGGGTGGAGCTACTCTGGCTTTTGACAATTAATAATATACTCCATGACAGCAAATAAAAAGCAAGATGGCAAATTCAAAATTTTCATTAAATCAGGAGAGAATGATGTTTCTGATGCTATGCTTTAACAACATTAAACAAGAGCTACATTCCATTGAACTTTGTTTACAGTTTATGTATAGACTGTTGTTAACATATGGCTTTTGAGAACAATTGGAATGACCCAGCTTACTAAACACCTGGGACCTTCCTATGGTTCGGAACCAGACTGACTAGTGACCTGCTGAAGAACGACATTATAACTCTTAATGAGGTTAAATATGTCTGTGCTTGCTGAAATAAATGAGCACTGAGTCCCATGACTGAAACAGTGGGGAATAGCTGCAAACCATATGGTCTGTTGAGCCTTTTCTGCCATTTGTTTTCCTGTCTCCCTCAATTCCTCTCCTGTCTGCTGACCATATTCCTTGATTCACTGACTATAGCCTTCCGGTATAGTCAATTTTGGAATATCCACATTCCTCTAAGTGAAGAGATTTCTCTTCTGATTGCTCAGTGATCAACCCCTTAATCTGACACTGCTCTAGAATCCTCCAATCAAGATAAACAACCTGTAGTACCCTGACTAGTTCATTTCAAAATATCATTGACATCACTTCTCATTTTAAACTCTGAAGAGTATGGACTCCCCTCTCTTGGTTTGTCTGTCGCTTTCGCTCGGACTCTGTCCACCCCTCGCCCTCGCTCTCGCTCTCGCTCTCGCTCTCTCACACACGGACACTCTCACATGTACTTAAGCTCAGCACATGTGTTGTGTAAAAGCAGTGCCGTTAGTACTGTAATCCCATTGGCTTGTGAGACTACATCATGTCTTGCTTTCCACAGTTCCTACCAAGCTTGTTAGCATTTTGCAAACAAGGCTGTAGCTTTAGTAACTGGGCTGTAGCTATAATTCACTGTTTCCAGTGCAGGGAGCAAAGTGATACCACTGCATGTACAGTGAATCCTGGCAACAGGAAACTGAGCCAGTAATCTGCAACTGAATGATTAAGATGTCTTCATTCTCTGCTGAGGTAGAGCTGTAATGCGCCTGTGGATTGCTTGTGATAGCGATTAAGCTGTGGAAGGGCAACAGTTTCACATGGAACGCCATTTCAGTAATGACTGAAGTGCCCCATTGTCTCAGCGTTATCTGTTCTCGCTCAGCTTGTAAATTGTACATTGGAGAGGGCACTATCTGGAATCTCTCAATTCTTGCTTTCCCTTCCTCCCTTCCCTTCCCACAGGCTTAACTGAACCCTCTTGTATAAACACCATTTCCTAAACCCAGTGGATTTTTCAATTCTTTAAGATAAAATTCAGTTGTGGGCTAAAAACAAGTGCACTGTAACATTTGTATGTATAATTATTGATCATTTGGGCTGTATTTGGCTATTTGTTTTACTGGTACCCACTGCTGTTCTTCCCCCAAATAATCCCCTCAATTCTGAGTAAAATTATCCTAGGTGCTTTGGAGCTCATTTCATGCAAGATGCTTGAGCCTATGTGGCACAAGGCTTCTGGCCTAGGGTAAACACTAAAAAGGATTTTACTGATCCACTATAACATTGACTTGTATATTCTGCCTCAAGGTTCTTCAGCTGGAGAGTTATAAAGCAGAGTTATCATCTTGCCATTTAAGGTAATAGAAGGGATGTTGATGATTTATTTAGTTAAAAGGGCTAGGCTAAAGGATTGCCTTAAAGGAGAAAAGAAAGGGGTCAGAAAAGTTTAAAAGGGGGTCCCAAGAAATATATAATGTAGCTAATTATGTAGAATGGGTATTTTAATTTAAATCACAATCCAACCACAAAGAAAGGATTAAGTCAAACAGGTGAAAGGAAGATTTAGGACAAATGTCAACAAGTTCTTCACCCAAACTGCCAACATGGTAGATGGTCAGAAAGTTGGATGGAGTGATTTTGAATACAGTTGATGTTTACTGTGTGGGTGATTCAAGATTGACCAAATGACTTTTTCCCATTAATGCTCACCCCGAGTTTAGGTTTAACCTCAAAACTGATACATTTGATTTGAGATATTAGTGAGCGCTGGATCCATGTGAAGTGGCAGGCCTGAGATCTAAAGTGCTTGTTGTCATTGGACAGTTCTGATAAATGGGAGAACTTCAGATTCAGCAGGGACTATTTTACACTTGTTGAAACTCAAGCCGGTAATTTTCTTTTATTTTGTTGTTAAACAGATTCAGCGAATGGTTATTTCTGGGGGCAACTTCAAACCTGACACACTCAAACCAAAGGAGGTGGTCAGTTTGCTGTTGGATGATGAGGAACTGGAGAAGAAATGTAAGGACAATGGCTGTGACTCTCTGGGTCTATTATTTTCTCTTTGTTTAATATGTTCACAAGCTGGTTGACTGGAATATCACAACTGAACTCCGTGATAGTTACAGATTAACACACACGCTCACTCAAACCTTCATTCAGATATTTGTACGCACATATTTTGCTCATTCCCCTAAACTCATGCTGTCAGTCATACACATGCATTCTCACTGACCCCTCTCTCACAAGCAAATCACTGGATGGTAGTTGGGAGAGCTGAATGATTTGTCCCAGGGACTTGAGCCAGTTTGGAAGGGGGCATTGGCATATTTGTAATGTCACTGGATGAGTAATCCAGAACCCCAGGCTAATGTTCTGGTAACATTAATTCAAATCACTCTGACAGATAATGGAATTTAAATTCAATAAAAAAATCTGTAAGTGAAGCGCTCACTTAATGGTGACATGTTACCACTGTCACTTGTAAAGAAAACTAATGTGGTTCACTAAACTTCCTTTAAGTAAGCAAAACTACAATGCTATGTGTGACTCCAGACCTACAGTAATGTAGCTTACTCTTAACTGCCTTCTGGACAATTGGAGATGGGCAATAAATGATGGGCCTAGGCAGTGACTCCCTCACTTCATGCACAAAGCTATTGGGATATCCCTACAGCCTCCAACTAATATCAGTTATCTGTTTTCATATCAAGCCACCTCCCCAACCCCAAAAAACTATGAAAGCATAGAAATTGGGGGAATCCAGATATGGAGCTTTGTCCCAAACGTAAGCCTCACTGTGGAGCTCTGACCAGCATTTGTGGGAGGGGGAAGGCATTATGCTCTGATATGGAGTTCTGACCTGGGAAGGCCCCAGTATGGAGCTCCAAGCCATGGGGAGACCCCAGGTGCATTGAAGCATTACTTCACAACTAACTGAACAAAATAAATCCCTTTCACTCACATGGAATTGGTACTGGCATACCATAAATTATACAAAACAACACATTGCAGGAGCATTTTAGTGAATTACTGGCGTTCCCAATTTGAGGCTGGGAGGTCTTGTGGCTGAGCCACACAGATCTGAAGAACAAAGGTCCCATTTCCAGTCTGTGCTCCGTTATCAGCAGCAGTACTACAATTGATGTCAGTGCCCTGGGCTACAAAGAAAACACAGCCAGTGATCCTGTTCCTGATCATAATCCAGCGACCTTTCTCAAAAGTGTTCATTCACATATAAACATTGAGAAATATCCCAATGCTTTCACTGGACAGGGAAAGCTAAGCATTTGATCCTGAATCTGCACAAGATTAATTCAGAGTATTTAGTCTTGGACTGCTGAATGAGTGGGTGTGGGAATTGCTGAATATTTGACTAATTCTTTCTCTGATTGAAGTGCGTCTGCGACAGGAAGAGAAACGAATACAAGAAGAGTCAAATAAAGTGAAAGATCGCAAAAGGAAACGAGAAAAATATGCAGAAAAGGTGAGACTATCTTTCCAACTGATGCAGTTCCCAGCATGGGATTGTGAAAGAAGTGAAGCAGGAATGAGTCACTCTCCTGCATGCTGCAATCTTTGCCATCTCGGAGATGGACAGGGTAGGCCTTTGCCTACAGATTTCCTACAGGAGGCCAGAGAAGTTGGAATGGTTCTGTTGTCAGTTGTGGGAGTCTTTCAACAGTTTGAGCTGCAGGTGGAGCACCCTGTTTTGACATGGGCAGCGGATAACTGCAGTACTGACAGGGTTATTACACATAACAGTACAGTCAGCCAGTGTGCAACAAAGAACGCCTTTAACAGGGAGCTGATGACCTCTCCTGCCATCTCCATCTTACTTGAACCTTACCATGTCTTCGTCTCTCTCTCTCTCTTTCTCTTTCTTTCTCTCTCTCTCTCTCTCTCTCTCTCTTTCTCTCTCTCTCTCT